TCAACTTCAGTAGCGATTTTAATTAAATTGGCGTCTTCATCTAATGCTGGCAAATCATGTACGGGTTTATCGCTAGTTGGCCCATTGCACTCAGAATCAGATGATTCTTCACTCAAACAAACTACTTTATCTATCATTCATTATATCATCATCATTATCTTTATCATTCATTCTGTCAATTTTTTCGTCCATTTTCCTACTGTTGTCGCTCATTTCGCCTTTCATCTGCATGAGCAGTGCAATCAAACTGGGGTTCTCCATTGCAGGGTCTTCCTTCTTTGATTTTCTTCTTGTTTCCATCAAAATTCAACTTGGATTCTGGTAAATCCCACTTCTGACACCAAATGTACCGGGGATGGCCGAGTATCAAACTCTTTCTTCAGCTTCCAACTTTTATTCACCTCGGCATAACTTTAAATACGGAACAGGAACAAACTAACTTCAAAATTACCGTCAACTTCACAAACAATAACAATAACCGACGGAAAATTCGCTCTTCCGACTCGCGGGGTTCAACCTCTTCTGCACCCGGTCGCTCCTGTCACTTCACTCCCCCTGTCTGGTTCTCGTCGTCGCTTATATAATTTCCTCCAGGTAACCCAGATGGTTCTAGAAATCTCCAGAACAGGTGCTAAACTTCCCGCTTGTCAGTGTCATATTTGACAGTAAATGGGGCGCAAATGGGGCTCCCATTTACTGAAATACCATCAATTTCGATCCCTCCATTTCAAACGTGAGTACCCCGGGCCATTTCCGTTACACTATCTATTGCTAGAACAATCTGAGTTTCTGTTACATTCTATGTTGTGTTCCAGCGGACAATTCATTGGTGGGGGCTATACTGTGTGGAATGGGCTGTCACGAAACGACCAACAAACCCCTCTATTCAGTCCACGACATGCTCATCCATTTGGATACTGAACTGAAAATCGAAGAACTCGAAATGGTGAGTCGTTGAATCCGATAGCAGCGCATGATTTTAAAGTTGGATTGCTTCAGATCAACAAGCTGCGATACTTGATGAACAACGGCATTCGAACAATGCAGGAAATGGAGCTGAACACGCCCAGACACGATGACATGTTGGCCATCCAGATCAACATCAAAGATCATCTGTTCAGGTACGTGTCTGCTGTTGATTTGGCTGTTGCGTTTACCTCGGCTCTGGTTCAGTTTGTTAAACATGGAGCGCAGTCCGATTGATCGCCAAGTGGCGCCTTGCCACAGCAGCTGGGGAACACCGGGCGGACTGGGACAATTGAAGCCCAATCTGGACAACGACGACCAGGACATTTGGGGTCTTTTGTGGTTTGTTAAGGTGGCTGATATAGGTGAGCGTGACAAGGATGTGCTCAAGAACTTGGAAGATATGGACCACATTGTCTTTGGGTACGTCCAGTGTGCGAGTGGTTTAAAGCTGAATGCTCTAAAAAAGTATCTGTTGTCAGATTGAGGCCCTTCGAAGCGATCGCCTGCCTTTTATGCGAAGCAGAGTTCCTCTTTATCAACGATCTCCGCCTCCACATGATTACTGCGATGCATAAAAACGAAGTCAGCCGCTTCCGAGATCGTTTGGAGCCAGAGGATTACGATGACGACGAGGAGGAACAATGAGCAGATTTTATAAGGATTTTTTTCAGTTACCGTGTTGGAACAGTGTTTTATTTTATGATTTTTTCTTAATGCGGCCCAGTAAAGGTTGTACTTGGAAGTGCTGTTTAGTTTTAAAGTTGTTAGTTCATATAACTAACATATTCACCAACATATTGTATAAATTGAATATGTTAGTTCCTTTACCATAAATAAAGGAAACATTTTCTCTAATTTGCCCGCTCTTTTGCGCTGGAATTCCATTCGGCCATGCTCGCCTGCAAATCCTCGCCCTTTCCTGCGCGCCGGCGCCCTTGCAGCGCCCCTGTCGTCAATATTCCGCGTATGCTGGTATTGCTCGGCCTAAATGTTCAATGTTTACACCGTTTTTACTACGCCCCTCGTTTTGCTCTATCGGTGCAGTGAATCAGCTTGGTGCCCCCCATTTAGAGGTGCTGGAGTTCTATGCGAGATTGGGTAAGTGCAAATGTGCGGCAGGTTTTTGTCGTGACGTGGCCAAAAAAATCACCTGCGGAGAGTTTTGGATTGTGCCCATTTCAGCTGCAGACTTTGTCTGTAACGGAAAGCGACGTTAGAGCTGTGAACTAAACACATCTAGCTGCAGCTAGGATTAAAAGTAGTGTGACGGATTGAGCTGAATCTCCGGCATTAAGTTGTCATTTGTGTGACAGCCGCACACGTATTGGTTGGAGGATCATTAGTGTGTTTGGGTTGCCAAGGCAACCCAAACCGTGTCCTCTCGGGGAATTTTAATCGCAAAAATCTTTATGGAGATATCATTATTTTTAGGCTCGCAAACGCACTAACAATGCCATCAGAGGCCGACGTTTCCTTGGTATAGAGCAGAGGAGCGACGTCGCCAAGCTGGCGCCCTTCAAGATTAAATTCCACAGAATGTCAAAGTCGAGTTCTTTGAACCGAAGGTATATAAGCATGCGGCCAGTCTTTCCCAGCGACTTTGATTGATTCCCTTCTAGTAACTCGGCTGAGACTGACCACGAGCACGCCAACAGTCCCCGAAAACCCCTGACATTGTCACCAGACGCAAAAAATGGTAAGAAGTGGCTGTCAGCTAAACCCCGCCTACTTCCCTCATACCAAAATGATATTCCCAGAATATACCTGAAACATTCATGTGATGTACATGCATATTCCTGGGACATACATGAGTTCCATTATGAACATTCCATGTATGTCCCAGGAATCTGTCAGAGTTAATACACTGAATGTTTATGGTATGTTCTGGGAATGTACATATATATGTTCTGGGAATGTACCTGATATGTTCTGGGAATGTACATGGTATGTTCAGTGAATGTATATGGTTATTTTCAGTGAATGTATATAGTATGTTCAGGAAATATACAAGTGTATTTTCTGGAAATGTACATGGTATGTTCAGGGAATATACATACATATACGGTAATCTGCCTAATTAACATTGTGCAAATGCTTCGTTATTATTTAAAACTCCGGTAACCATGGAATTATACAGACTGGCAATAAGATAGACAAGGATAAACGGTAAATTCAACAAAATTTGTTGACGAAATGTCAACCTGTTCTCATAACCTCGAATATGGGTGTTCATAAATAAACCCTACAACACCAAACATTTGAATGGTTAACTCCAAACAAGCTAGTGCCTGTGTAATTTCCTTATTATCCACTCTTACCAAGCAGTTTTTCGTATTCAGTTAATTAACTCCTGCTCAATTTGTATCTCCTTGTGCTGTGTGTGTATCGTACAAACGTGGTAGGAATGTATCCCTTCCTCGGTCTTTATTTGGTGCTCGGTTATGTCCAATACGTGTTCCTCTGTGCTTCGAACCCGAACATTTATCGTCCACTATCTTCCTGGAACCACTCTCCTCGCCCTTTGTTGGCTTGAGTTCTTTCAGGTTCTGCTATCTTACTGTAGCTGTCCTCTGAACTAATCGCATATCCGCAAATTCGTGAAAGGAAATTCAAAGTAAGTCACAGTTTGACAAATTATTGTTATGATTGACAAGGGCTATCCATCCTGTAACTATCTGTTAATGACAAAAAACATCATTGCCGCTGTGCCTTTTCATCAAAAAATTGTAGAAGAGAACTTTTTTGTTATCAAAAATTTTCGTAATTTGAAGCAAAGAT